ACAGTGCTGGATCCTCCATCATTGGCTCTGAGGATACTGCCATGACCTCGGGCTTCTCATCAGAGCTAAGTTCAGCAACTGACTGTCCAATCTGAGTCATTGTGGACTCTTTTTTTTTTTCTTTTCTTTTTTTTCTGGACTCTCCTTTAGCGATAGGGTGATAAGTTCAGTTATCCAGGAGATACTAGCAGAGCTGCTGTTCCTTCACATCAAGGAGAGCCAGTTGAGGTGGTTCGGGTATCCTGTAAGAATGTCCCCTGGGCATCTCTGTAGGGAGGTGCTCTGGGCATGTCTTATGGGGAAGAAACCCTGGACACACTGAAGAGTTTATGTCTCATGGCTGGCATGGGAATGTTTTGGAGTCTTCCCAGAAGAGGTGGCTGGGGACAGAGTTTGAGCCTCCCTGCTGAAGTCCAGTCCAACTGAAGTCCAGTCATCAGCTAAAGTCCAGTGATAGCTGACCGTGTGGCAGTTTCCCAGGTCCTGTGCACGGTGGATCTGACTGAATAATTGTCTCAACTCTGTTGTCCCATTTGACTCTTCCAAACTTGACCCATTTCTCCCAAATGTCTTTGATTTTTGGGAAATGTTGTGTGCTAAGTCCCTCCTTGACTGTATTTTCACAGAAATGTGCAATTTTGTTTCTGCTACAGGTATTCTTGCCAGAAATGAGAAAGCTACAAATGCTGTGCAATATAAATATGGCTGTCTCACCTGATCCAAACACTGTCATGACATCACAGCCCATATATGGAAGTGAAGGGTTGTTTCCAAAGCACCAGCTTGAAAATTCATATAAATTCATTTTAAAAACAAGTTTGCATTACTTTTCAACATTTTCCACTGAACATACATATTTAATTTTTATGTCATATTTAGCTGGATATGCAATATGAAGAAATTATGGGTGTTGGGCTTTAGGCTGCAGCCCCTGTGATCCAACTCCAGAACACGTGGAAAATATTGGATGGGTGGAATGGTGATAGTCCTAAAATGGAACCTAATGGGCCACAATTTCTACTATTTTGGTCACATTATTGACTTTGTCACATTGCTCTTATTGAAAACCTTCCCAGTTTTCTCATTTAAAACAGTCCCCTTTCTGTTCAGAAAGCTTTCAGTATTTTCATTAAAACAAAACACTTCAGCTATATTATACAACAAAGTTTCAATTCCAAATTTAGTTCTAGTCTTTACAATTTCCTTCATTAATTTATTTGTTCATTAAATATCAATTTACACCAGGATTTCTTCCATCATCAGACTTTTTTAAATTATTCTCTATAAAAATATCTGGTTAATAATACATATCTGGTTGTTATATAAATATTTTTTTAATACATGTCCAAATATATATACCACATGTAACACATGCTTTATGCCTTCTTCACTTTTACTGTTATTCCATACAGCTTCTTTTTACTGCAGCATCTTACTTCATTTAAACATCAGATACATACAGATTTTTTTGTGGTTTGACCTTTGGCTTTTTGTAGCATTGCATAAAATCTTAACAGTCACCAAGAATTCACTTTCTGTTTGAGAACAAGAGTCTTTGTTCGGTGAATTGAATCACTTAAAGATGTTTCAACGTCAGACTGGGGCTGTTGCGTAAAAGCTGGGTTTTCCTAGGTTGTGTGCTGTGTATGGACAGACAGACAGACAGACAGACACTGTATCTAAACATTCAGTCGGCGTTGAATCATTCTGGGCTTCATAAATTTTCTGAGAATAACAACTATTATACAACTTGCTTCACATATTGTCCTCATTCAAATAATTCAGTGAAGGAATTATATGACCCCCAGCTCTACACCTACAAAAAAGTATTTAACCACAGTTACAAGAGGGAAAAACATAATACTCCTGTTCAGTCAAAAGTCCCACTCTATTTTTATCACACTATACTCAAATTTCTTCAGTAATTGTACTGTCCAAAACTCAACTGTCATAGTTCATTAAATATCTCAGAGTGTTACTAAGTTGGGAAACAAACCAGATATGTGTAAGAGTAATTTTACATTTTTTTTATTTTGGGTTACTATACATATACACATACAGTAGACATATATTTTAGAATCAAGTTGAAGACCAAAGATTAGCATTGCTCTCAGACAGATTAGATGAATCTATGCAGAGGACCTGACTCAACCTTGTTAGAAGTTGAAGACAGATTGTATACTGATAAATATTTCTCATTTGCTAAATGTCAGTCCTACTGAATTCAGTTTTCTATAGTTTGACCAATATAGCCTTGCTACTAGGGATTGGGCAGATCCGATCCAGTATCGGTATCGGCCTCCAATACCAGCATAATTTACGTATCGGATTTTTCCGATCCACGTGCCGATATTTCCGATCCATGATGCATGTTGGCTTCAAACTATGGAATGAATTTCATGAACGGTGGCTTGTCTCATGAACCCAGAGTAATAAGACCCGCCTCACATTCAGGAAATTCAGTTCATAGTTTGCAGCCAGCTACAACGTGAGGACTGAGTTAGCAGCACTGTAGCTAACAGCTAACCAACTTTTCAGCTAAACATGTCCGCTGTGTGGAAGTGTTTTACATTAGAAACACCACAAAACAAGACGGCAACGTGCAATGTCTGCAGAGCCATAGCGCCACATTAAACCGCGGTAAAGTTACTTTTACGATGGACATTCGAGCTCCGTGGCTTCAGCAGGGTGCTACTCTCGCTGAATCCGAAAGAGGCGACTCGACCTCGGCCAGCCGCGTCCAATCTGTCCCGCAGTCTGCCTGTCTCTGAGGAGGGACAGACTGAGTGTGGCTGCCCCAAATCAGGCTGCTTGCTTCGGATTGAACAAGAAGAAGACATCGCTGAAACCACGGAGCTCTAATGTTTACAGAGAAGTTGCTAAACTTCATAATTAATGTCCAACTCCTATCAGTTGTAGAAAATGAAGGATTTCACAGTTTGATATTTGCATCCAAGATATAGTTTAGATATTTATCAGTACAACAGTAGACAATCATAAAAAACATGATTTGAAAATTATATATATTAAAAACAAAAGACAGCTACATTATAAAGTGATGTAAAATACTAAAAACAGGAACATGTCTGTTGGTTTATGCCATGAACTTAGCAAGTGTTTGAAACCATTTAACATTTTATTTAATTTTATTCATTTATTCATTCATTTAAAAGAAATAAAATTTAAAAAATCATCAAAAAGAAAATATTGAATGAAAAGAGTGCAGAAAGAAGAAAAAAAAATCTTATATCTGCCCCTTATTTAAAAAAATATAAAATAACTTTAAACAATCACTTAAATTAATCACTTTAATATCCACTTTAAAGCTAGGAATAAAAATAAACATGTTTTGTGTTAGCAGAATTTAATTCTAACTTTAAAATTTATCCAACATTAATAAAACTTACCTCAAGTTGCCTTTTTGGACATGCATGCATATATTTGTACAAATTGTACTTGAGAGGAGATTATTACAGCCTCATGTAAAATCATTGATGATGATGATATCGGAACTGGATCGGTATCGACAGATATTCAGATTTAGGTATCGGGATCGGATTGGAAGTAAAAAATGTGGATCGGTGCATCCCTACTTGCTACTAGCTTTAGCTGCTGGGGTTTGGCCGGGTCAAACCTGAAGGAATAGTTGAGAGTTGCTATGGGGAGCGTTGGAATTTGCCTAGCCTACATGTGTTTTGTGAACCTGGAGAAGTTTAATGACTGTTCCCAATGGCATTTTTGGGGGGATGTTGTGGGAATATGGGGTAACTGGGTTGCTTTTAACGGTTATCCGGTTCCTGTATAACCAAACCTTTGTCCACATTTTTGGCACAAAATCAAGCTTGTTCTTGGTACAGGTTGGATTCCACCAGGGCTGTCCCTTGTTTTTGATCATGTTTGTGGTGTTCATAAACAGGATCTCAGTGTGCATTTGTGAAGAGAAAGGAGTCTGGTTTGGAACACTCAGGGTCTCATCTCTGCTTTATGTGGACAATGTGGTTCTGCTGTCTTCTTAAGGCCAAGACCTTCAGCGCCACTGTGGCGGTTTTCAGCCAAGTGTGAAGCAAATGGAATGAGAGTCAGTTCCTCTAAGTCTAAGGCCATGGCTATTGAATTGAAATTGGGGAATGGCCACTGTGGGTCAGGGAGGAGTCTTGGCCTTAGGTGAAAGAGTTCAAGTATCTGGGCATCTTGTTCATGAGTGATGGTAGGATGGAGCAGGAGATTGATCAATGGATTGCAGTCTCATCCTCAGTAATGAGGGTGATGCTTTGGTTGATCGTGGTAAAGAAAGAGCTGTGTCAAAAAGCAAAGCTCCCCATTTACTGGTACGTCTATGTTTCAAACCTCACCTATGGTATTGAGTTTTGGATCACGACCGAAAGAACAAGATCCCAGATACAAGCAGCTGAAATGAGGTGGCCAGGCCCAGCCTTAGAGATATGGTGAAGAGCTCCATTATCCATGGGAGCTCTGAGTAGAGTTGCTGCTCCTTCACATCAAAATGAGTCAGTTGAGGTGGTTTGAGTATCTGAATAGGATGTCTCTTGGACTCATTTAGAGTTTTCTGGGCAAGTCCCACTAGTAAGAGGCCCCAGAGAAGACAGAAATCACTAGTGGAATTTGTATCTTCCTGGGTACATCCTGGACAGGTCTCCAGTCCATCACAGGGCCAAATAGAGACAAACAAAACAACCATTCACTCTCACTCACGCCTAGGGACAATTTAGTTACCAATTAGCCGAACATACATGCTTTTGGTCTGAGGGAGGAAACCAGAGTACCCGGAGAAAACCCATGGAGAGAACATGCAAACTCCACCCAGAATGACTCCAGTCGGGATTCAGTCTGACGACCTCCTCACTGGGAGACAACATCTCTGCCAAGGATCAAAAACTTTTAAATTGACAAAATTTTTAGTAAAAGTTTAAGGTTTTATGAAATACAGCTAAACATTTGTATGTTTAACATGTTTGTATTTCTCTCTTCCTGTCTGGCAGGTAATCACATGCTGCTACGAGTTCTACCCTCATTTTATCCCAAACAACCACATACCATCCACTGTCACCTGAGCAGCCTTACAGCAATGATGACACAGCTGGAATCACCAGAGAAACCACATCTGATCTGTCTTATTCAAATGGTTGCTGACCAGCACCCACTTGTAAGTAAAATTTCTTTTACCAATGTAAAGAAAATATCTTGAGCCTTCTCTACACTTTTATGTTACTACAATTTCAATAAGGAAAGACTTCAGATGTGACTTTAAAGTAGCAACTGTTGCTGCATTTATGTCGTAAACAATTTATTTTACAGGGGAAAGATTAATAAGTGCATTATTTTAGGACTGTTGCCAATCTTCACAATAGTGGACACCCCAACAAATTCATGCCTATGTCAAACTAGAATTGTTTTCTTCTTTCGGCTGCTTTCGGCTGCTTTCGGCTGCTCCCTTCTTCAGGGGTCGCCACAGCGAACTAACTTCCATGAAGATTTGGCAATTGTTTTTACGTCGGATGCCCTTCCTCACGCAACCACATACCACCAAGCTATCACGGCTTTTTGTGTGAAGCAGAGGGCTGCCATCTAGGGCACCTGGGAAAGCAGATGGTTGGGGTTAAGGACCCAAAATGATATTAGTAATGGTAGAGGCAGGTGGGGGTGCTTCACCTTTCCCACCCACATTTTGATGTTGTTGGGCTAGGGAGTTGAACCGGTGACCTTCCGATCACAGGCCCACCTTCTCTAACCTCTACGCCACCTCCCCCTTATTACAATGTCAAACAGCTTGGCAAACTACAATAATCAGGAAAAAATATAAAAACCCAAGCGCTGCATTTTGAATTGTACGAATCTGATTGATTAAATGTTTATCTTCTAACAGAGTAGTAGTCTTCTGAAAAAGTACTGATTGCTTCGAAAGGTTGTCAGGAATGTCAAATGTGAGGCCATTTACCCAACAGCTGAAATTGGGTCATGCAACAAAACAATGATCTCAAACACAGAAACATATATACTGCAGAAGAAAAAAGATGTTGTAATGGCCCAGTCAAAGTCTGGACCTCCACCTAAGTAAAATGCTGCGGTGGCACTTTGAGAAAGCTGTCCACAAACAACTGTCTGCAGATATCAATGAGTAAATGTTGTAATGTTGTAAAGAAGAATGGGACAAAATTACTTCATCGTGTGAGAGGCAGATGAAGTCCTACAAAAAACAATTACTTCAATATACTGCTACTGAAGGTGGTTCTACAAGGTCTACAGTTGTGGGATAGTCAGTTTTACACACACATCTTGTTCATTTAGGCTTTGTTTTTGTATAATAAATAATGACAGTGCAATTTGTTGTATGTTTTTGTACACTTCAGGTTAGATTTAAATTAATTCTTAATCCAGACCAGATCCATTTTTTATTTTATATTGTGATAAAACCCCAGAAGAGAGAGGATTTTTATTTTCTTTTGGTTTTATGTTGTTTTTGAAGTTTTTGCAGCACCAGTGTATTTTTTTGCACAGCTTTTTTCCTCGGTAGTGTGGATGTTCACACCCATGTTTGAATTGTTATCATTGCTGTTCAAGGTGTGAACAAAGTCTCTGGAATAGGTTCCTAATTAAAAAAAATAATTTAGATAAAGCGTGGTGTGTGTACATTTTTCTTAACATTCTCCCTATTAGTCAAACATGGTAATCAAATAGTTTGCCCTTCAACATTTCTATGCTCCACAACAATATTCCTTATGAAAATGCAACAAACTTGGATAGAGGTGAGGAACTGGAGCTCACTTCTCCTCAGGAATTTCTTGAATCTTGCATATTTTGGAGGTTGTTCAACTTTAGTGGGGGGAATACCGCCCACCAACAACTGGAGCTCACAATGGTAAAACATGCACAGTCTCAATCAGAGCAGAAACAAAACCAGCCATCTGGAGTTATTCTTATCCTCCAAACCCCCCACAGACAGAACAATCCTCACCCAAAATGTTCTCTTTGTTTCCAGCTGTGTTCATCGCAGCAGTTATGAAATCCTCTGCATTAAACTGTTACTTACTGGAAGTGAGGCAGTAGTGACAAGATTTTAAATAAGATGTGATCACGAGCAATAAGGGAAACTGCCGATATGTGTTAACACTGTTAATTTACTCTAACTCTGTCCAGTTAGATCAGATAATGAGCAGGAACTGTTCTTTTGCTCTGTTTGTCCACGCAGTTATTTGTTTGCTAGTAGCCGGATTTCTCGTATAGCTCCAAAGTCTGGCTTCTGAAAGATCTGTTGACTCTATTTACTGTGTTAGACAAAGGCATAGACTACAAACATGTCTTAAAGACATAACAACCTGGATGACCCTTAATTTTCCGCTTTTAAACTCAGACAAGACTGAGGTTTTGGTTTTTGGACCTGAGCATTTTAGGAATAAATTTTTCAGTCTTTCTCCCTCCTTAGATGGCATTAATCTGGCCTCCAGCTCTAATGTTAAAAATCTTGGTGTTATTTTTGATCAAGACGGGTTTTTTTTATCCCCCACATTAAAAACGTTACTAGAACCTCCTTCTTCCACCTGCGTAATATCACTAAAATTAGAAACATCTAAAAATTATGCAGAAAAACTGGTCCATGCATTTGTCACATCTAGACTGGATTATTGCAATGGTTTATTATCTGGATGTCCAAATACTTCTTTAAAATGTCTTCAGTTGATCCAAAATGCTGCTGCCAGAGTCTTAACTGGAGTTAGTGGGAGAGATCATATCTCTCCAGTTTTAGCTTCTCTCCATTTGCTCCCTGTCTTATTTCTAACCTACAAAGCTCTCAACAACCTAGCTCCATCTTATATTACAGTTACATACTTTACATATGTTACATATTTTCCTAACAGAGCACTTCATTCAAACTGCAGGTTTACTTGTGGTTCCTAGAGTTTCTAAAAGCAGAATGGGAGGAAGATTTTTCAGTTATCAGTCTCCTCTCTTGTGGAACCAACTTCCAGTTTCTGTCCATGAGGTTGACACATTGTCCAGTTTTAAGACTGGGATTAAGACTTTCCTTTTTGATAAATCCTATAGTTAGGATTGGCCTGTTTTGCTGCCATAAGCTTTAGACTACTAGAGGACAAATTGACCTAATTTCCTTAAATGATTTGTTACAAATGAATAGTTTTCATTTGATACTATTTCTAAAGATGTGATTCTTGACCTGCCATTGTGTATCTGTTCTTCTCTAACCCAGCCGGTCGAAGCAGATGGCCTCTTGTCCTGAGCCTGGTTCTGTTAAAGGTTTCTTCCTCATGAGGGAGTTTTCCTTTCCACTGTTGCCTTCATGCTTGCTCGGGATGAGAGTCTGTGATGAAGTTAAACTCAAAGCAGTCTGCTCCTCAGATAAATAATGTTAAATTATTATTTTTCATATGTGCATGTTTCTGTTCTATGTCCTGAGATAACTTCTGTTGTTTCTTGGTGATATATAAATAAACTGAATTGAATTGTTAGTGAGAGAGTTGATGTCGAGTAAAATAACTTTTTGTCTTTACTTTTACAGTATATGTAACTTTAATTTATATTTCCTTGTTTTCTGTGCTTCTCCTAATCCACGCAGATGCTGGGTCCTCAGGTTCCTTCACTGATCAGTTATCTGAGTGACCACTCTCTGACGGAGGCTCTGCTCGGTGCTCTGGTCGATGTGTCACAGGCCAGTCCCTCGTCATTCACCAGCTTTCTGCCCGCACTGAGGATTGTGGGACAGCAGTCTACTGCTCTGCTGGGTAATGTGGCCAGAATTCATGGTGCTGTCGGCATCATCAACGAGGTAAAAACCTGGACACTAAATCACATTTTTAGATTTGTGTTTTGTTTTTCAGCAGGTTTGCACTTTTTTTTTTACATCTGTAATAATAGCTTATGCCTTGTACTAGATTGAAAGAGAAAACTATAAAGCACTTTAAACAACTGCACTTCTTACACACATGAACGCCACCAAAAGTGGGCCATGGCCACGTGGGGGCCACTGAACATCCTGGGATGGCACATCAAAAGCAAAAGCCAAACTCAATTAGTTATGTTGTCACATACCAGTTATTAGGCGTATACAGCAACACAAATCACCGTCTGATCTACATAGGCCTACTTTGTATTTATTTATTTGCAGTTCATATTATGTATTGAGAAAAGACTGTTAGCACTTATTAAAGCTTGTCCTCTCTTAAATTTATACTTATAAAAAAGATCCTGCATCCTAAGCACAACGACTGGTTTCTCTTTATTCAGGGAGACTAGAGTTTAAATTTCATGTTTTATTGCAAACAACAATAATGTTTTTACTCCTAGCTACTGAAAAACATGTTAGTTTGTTCATTTTTTTGTTATGAGGTTCTGCTGATCCTAAAAAGCTAGAGGAAATGCACACCAAGCAAAAGCTCATGACTCAAGAGGGCACAACTGTCTGGCCATGGGGGTGGGGTTGGGGGGGGCAGTGGGGGACACCAATTTTGATGCCCATGCCAGGGGGGCCAGTGGCCAGCCTTGACCAGACTTACCCTTTTGAGCCCTGAGCTTCTGTTTAATGAGTATTTTCAGTTTCTCCTTGCTGTTTGGGATTACTAGAACAGTATCAAGATAAAAACGAAACTTTTTTGTTTGTTTAAAATTTTAGTTATTTGGTTTTCAAAAAACAAATACATACATGTGGTTTATTTTAAAAACTAAAACTTGATGAGTAGTTTCCGTGAATAAGAACAACAGGTGTAAGATGAACAGAATGAATTATTAATGTGGTGAAAGACAATGTTATATCAGGATGCAAAGTCTCAGAAGATTAATTGGATTTAACAAACAGGATGTGACAAAAACTTCAGTAGTAGCAGATTAAATTAGTAATTGTAACGCAAAAGTAGGCCTTCCATACCATACCATACCATACTATACTATATCATACTATACCATACCACAGCACACCATACCACTTTATTTATAAAGCACTTACAAACAGCAACAAGGCCAATCAAAATGCTATACCTGTACAACAGAAACAAACATGCAAATCACACATGATAAAATACATAGATCCAAATAGGTAAATAACTATATGACTAATATTATATAAAACAGACAAATTAAAATCAACTCACACGGTGTCAAAGGCCAGGGAACAAAAGTGAGATTTCAAACTAGACTTAAAAACAGTGAGTGGAGGAGCCTGCCTGACATGCAGTGGGAACTCGTTCCACAGTTTTGGACCTGCAACAGAAAGTCCTGTCACCTCTGAGGTTTAAATGAGTGCCTGGAACCGATAAAAGCATCTGGTCCGCTGACCTCAGAGAGCACTGTGGGACATATGGCTGCAGCAGATCAGTGAGATAGGAGGGGGCAGAACTGTTCAGAGATTTAAAAACATACAGAAGTATTTTAAAATGAATTTGAATGTGAACCGGGAGCCAGTGAAGGGAGGCCAGAACTGGAGTAATGTGCTCTCTTTTGCCTGTACCAGTTAAAAATCGGGCTGCAGCATTTTGGACCAGTTGTAAACGTGCAATGGAGGACTGACTGATTTCAAAAAGAAGCACATTGCAGTAATCAAGCCTGGATGTTCTGAAAGCATGTATTACTGTCTCAAGGTTAGTTTTGGACTGTATGGGCTTCATTTTAGACAGGCGCCTCAACTGAAAAAAAAACAACTACAGGATTTAACAATCATGTTTACATGACTGTTTATTTTCATGAACTGTGACATGTAAGCCTTATTTAGACATTTATGACAATAAAACATTTTCATTGTGATTTCCAGATTTATTCCTTCTAAATCTATTACGTGACTTTCAGATATTAAAAAGGTCAAGGTTCTTTAGTGTCATTCGCATCGCATGTGGTACATGAGGTAGAACGAAACTGTGCACTCAAGGTCCCAGTTACATCCAACAATATCAAAAATATAAAGTGTAAAAAGAAACAGTAAATAAGATATAAACTAAGAAATATGCTAAACGAACACCAAACAGTCTGCTAAAAGATCTAAGATATACACTAGTCACTAATAATGTAAAACAATACACAGAATGAAAGCAGCACGGACATGAGTCTTTGTGTGGATGAGTATGAATGAATGAATACAGCAGCATGAAATAATCAACAGCATGAAATCAACAAAAAAAGATCCTGGTTTTATTTTTACAACATTCTTTTCAAGTTTAATTTTGGGCTTTGAACCATTTTCAATCGTGAACAAAGGACAAGGTTCTGTAGTGAACCTGATCTGACCCTGATCTGACCCTGATGACCTCAAATCTATCAGATGGACAGAGACTGTTATTTTCATTGATCTGAATACAGTCTGAGTCATCTGGTGACTTTCTTTCTTGAATTAATCAAGCAGAAAAGACAATTCTCTATAATCATTTACTGTTTTACAAATGTTTGATAATCAAATTGTGTTAGTTCCATTCAATGCTTACAGGTTGAAAAGAACTACTCATTTTTATTTTACATAAACAGTAAGTAATGATTTTTATTCCTCATTCAAAGAAGAAATCAGGTTAAGATGCATTTCTTGATTCTCTGTCTGAAATGAGCCAAGTAATGTAAGTATGTTAAAGGTCGGTTTTCGGTCAACTAAAATGTTTACTGAGAAGAAATGTCATGTTTTACTATTTGAGAAGATATAACAGCGTGAGACTCCACGAAGTCTGGTCGTCTGCAATAATCTTTTCTGTATGTTGAAAACAATCCTTGACTTATGATAACATCTTACATCACAAACCACACCTCTATTTCTGGTCCATCGACCAATCAAAAGCTCTCAAATGAACCGGAAGTCGACCCATTTAAAATGTGGCAACTTCCCAGTTCATGAGAGAATTCAAGAGAATTCAGGAGAATTCAGGAGAATTCGGGAGAATTCCGGAGAGTCTGGAGTCTGATAGTTCCAGAGGCTGAGGAGATGAAGAACTAGAGAGTTGCTGGAGTTGAAAGATTCTGTTAGAGTCTGAGAAGTTCTGAAGAATGAAAGGAGTTCATGGTTCTTGGGTGCAAACGCATTCAGGATGATCCAGAGACGTTTTGGGATTATAATTTCTGTTTGAAAACCACGTACGACTCCCCGAGGGTTTGGTAGTTCTCACGGAGACGCTGAAAAGAGTCGAAAAGGAACCTACACCGACGCTGAGTTCATCATCAAGGTAGATGGTTCTATTTTCGACCAAGTGTACCGTGGGCAAGCTGATATCTGATGGAGCGTGCAATTTCTGGTCAAACAGATTAATTCCCTCACATATTTCTCTGTAAGATAAATCTCCATTTCATCTTAAAACTCTCCTCTTTCTCATAAAATCAGTACAGATATTTTAGAAATATCTGAAGCAAACTAGTGGCACGTACCTACGTGACTACTACAGTTCCCAGAAAGAATACAGAGTTTAATTTTGTTTTTCTGGTAATTACTCCACTGATGGAAATGTTGAAATGACAAGCACCATTCTGTGGCTCACAAATGAGTCCAAATCACGTAATTCTTCTATGGGGTATGAGCTGAGAACATTTTTGATGTTAATATGTGTTTTTGGTTGTTTTGTGCAAACTATTTTTATACATATGTGCAAAGCTTTACTGATTATTTTATTTTTCTGTTCAGTCTTTGTACATCTTCAGTTTGATTCTTCACCATTATTGAACACTTACGTCAGAAATTATGGAAAAGTACTTACTTGGAGGTAAAAACCTAAAACAACCATTCCTCGTATGTCAGGTGACAGCAACACACAGGTAAAGGCTCCTTCTCGCTCCTCCGGGTCCATTTTAGGCAGTTTAATGACAATTTACAAAAATTAGCAACTGGGGAATATAAATGTGTTTCCAGATGAAGTGCTTTTATTCTACACAAGCATGCATGGACACACACACATTTGGGGCAGCTGTGGCCGAGTGGTTCGAGCAGTCGTCCTGTAACGGGAGAGTTGGGGGTTCGATTCCAGCAGCAGTCACATGCCTCTGATGTGTCCCATCAGTGTATGAATGTGATCTAAAGCACTGATTATTTTTTGTAGAGATCTAGCAGAGAGCTGTATGAATGTGTGTGTGGAGGTAAATGAGGGCACAGATTGTGTTGTAAAGTGCTTTGAGTATCTTTATTAGATAGAAAGGTGTTGTATAAGTGCAGTCCATTTCCATCATTGCATTTATTCACAGATTTGGTAGAAAAACACTCAGAAAGTGTGGAGCTTGAAACCATAACAAAGTCTTCTGATTCTCCAGGGCAGATTTTCCTCCAAACGCTGCTTCCTCCTCAATCTTCTTGTCAAAACGCCTGCCAGCCCAACTTCAGCGCACACAGACACACACGCACAGATACACGAAGTTTTATTCAAACCTCAGTGTCCTGTCTTTCTTCACCTTGGAACCATTTGAGAAATAACCCTTGTTTTGTAGAAAATCCTCCTGCAGAGGCCTCCTGGAGATGGCAGTGGAGAATGTCTCCTGTGGGTTTCTGTTTATGCCCCCCCCCCCCCCCAACACACACACACTACACACATGCAGTTTCACTCTGGGTTGCATTTGCTCTTGATTGCACAACTCTTACACTGGTTTTCCTTACCTCCTGAAGGGATACTGTGTATCTGGATTTATTGCTTGTTAAACCAGAATATATCACCAGTGACAGAAACACTATACTCTATAGACAAAGTTAAGTCCAACAGTCTTGCTATAAATATATAATCTGACTGTTCTGATACATAATAATTACAATGATGTGCTTTTTAACTCTTTTCAGAACAAGATTGATCAAACCTTGCAGCCATTTATTAACGTTAAGAACTATTT